ATAGGCTACTTTTCGCAGCATTCACTGGGTCATTCTATCGATTTGATAATTTGTTAACGTTTTTCTTAGGAGAAGAAGACTTAACATGTTTGATCAAGCATTTTCCCATAGTCATGTTAAGGTGGGCGGTGAAGCTCATTTCTATCTCAGGGTCAGAAGGATGCGGTTTCGAAGCGGATGTTCCAGGGTAAGTCATCCATAACATATAAAGGAGGGGAGGGGAGGGGCCTCGCAGTGCAGGTGAACAGTGGCCCGGGCTGGACAGGGAAAGCCAACTAGTTGCGGTATAAATTAGATTTCACGGTTAAAGAAAACGGACTGTCGGCGCGGGAAACTGTTCTGAAAGAAAATAGATATTTTTCAACATATCAGTTGATTTGGCTCCTAAAAGACGTCCCAGATACGAAAACTCGGAAGCAAAAAATGTGAAAATCAGATTTGAGCTCATTGAGGCTAAGGTGGGCTGCGGAATAAGAAATCATGCCTCCCGAGCCAATACGTGGGGCAAGACGCCGGCCGTACTGAAGCCCGCAATATCCTCGCTTCTAGCATGGAGAAAAAAAATATAAGGTTCATGAATACTTCAAAAGAATGAGGGATATGACAGAGAGGGGATCCGCAAGAGTTGACCAGCAACTCGAGGAAGTCGAGGTCAAGACTGAGATAGCGCTGGCATCCACATTGTGGTTGCCGCAAAACGACTTAACGTTCCCCAGCCGACCAACGCAAATTCGCTAAAAACATAAACAGCATATTCCAGCAAGGTCGATCACCAGCAATCGGATCACTAGGTGATGCTACATCGAAGCTAATCTTCACTGACATTGAGCTCCCTGGTCCTATCACGTCACACACGTACAAGGTGCCACCAATCACGGTACTGTCGAACTCTTCCTTCACCGCAAGGAACCACCTGTGGGCCCATTGATGAGCCATTTTACCGAAAGGGTAAAGCGGATATCTCCACAGCCACCACTTTGATAGGCAGTATAATGAATGGACCTGCAGAGGACGTAGGTTCTCTAACGTTTTTGGCTAAAACTGTGATGAGGTCGGATACGTCCTGGATGGAAAAAGCGCCGTTATTTTGCTTCCTTTGTATTATCCAATGTTGCCTAAACAGCTGTTTCACAAGACGAGGATGACGACGTCAAGATGCAACTTCCCTTAGTGGCAATGACCATGAGAACGATAATCGGAAAAGAACAGTCGTCCCAGAATCATTGGACTTCTCAAAACTCACTTTGAAACAGGTTATTCAGCCAGTTCAGCATATTGTGAAACGCGAGTCTGCTGGGGCTGACCCTCTGAGCAACGATCCGGAGGTGGACGTGTTTGTCAGGCCAATGGCATCGTCTATAGTGGCAGATGGACCGACCCGTGTATTATTTGTCGAAATCGATGCAACATCCAAAATGTCCATGAAAAAAATGGCGTTCGGTGAGGGTGACGGCAATGACGTCCCAATGTGGAACACTGGCAACATAACCACATCGATATCCTCAAATACATCCAGATGCCACTAGGAATGGCTACAACTTACGTTAACGTAGAAACGCCAAGACTGGTTCCTGGCAGCTTGGGAATGGATGCAAGAAGCTATATCTACGGAAGCCTCAGCAGTTGCAGTGTCGTTAGCGGCAGAGACTACTCGGTTATACCACCCACCTTGCCAAATCGATTCAAAAAAAGATAAAGGAACCTTTAAAAAAATTCAGATTTTCCATAAGATATTTTCGCAAAGCAGGCAGAAAAAAAAGCCTTCGCAATTTACCAGCGCAAGTAAAAATGACGCTCATGGGTAAAAGACCATGCCATCTAACCTATAGATCTTGTCAGCACACTAATTTTCCAAAATTTGTTTTGGATCTCAACGGCCTAGGAGAAGATTCTTTTTTGACACAGCAAGGCCTGTGAAATGTCAAGGTAGCTGTTAAAGAAAAGAGCTATCTAAGATTACTGTCCACTTCTAGAATATGTCCCTTGCGAGCACTGATCCGGCCGTCTGCGAAAACTCAGCGAACTTCTAGCGGAATACCTAGAAGCCTACAATGCCGAGTACACAAAAAATTTGGTTTCCTGTATTGTCTAAAATTTGCTTGTATAACTTCGTTTCGTTAGCAGTTCGAAGAGTGGACATTCGCCCCTACGATTGCGATGCCAAACATGACCGGTAACATACACGCATTACGTATATTTTCCGAAACTATCAGCTGTTCATAGTATATTTGTTAGCATTAACTGTCATCCTTTATAAGCGAAGAAGAGCAGCATGCAGGACGACTAAATGACAGGGGCTCAACGAAGTCTGAGACGCGACACGAGGATAATTGTAAAAATTGACACACTTTCTGCTGAGTTGCTGTAAATTTGTGAGTAGTCATTTTTGAAGCTCATGGTTGCATCTGTTTGGCTCCCGCCAGAGTGCCGAAGTTATGCCAGCGCTACGCCAGCATTTCGATCGATACACGTGCATTTCGTTGGGGACCTCTACCTGCTGAGCTAGCCCCGCCCCAACGAAATACACGTGTATCGATCGAAATGCTGGCGTAGCGCTGGCATAACTTCGGCACTCTGGCGGGAGCCTTTCAGACTACAAACATGTCTTTTCTGACTGTGAATGTGCCATATCTGTCTTATATCTTTTTTTTGCAATTCGAAGCACATATCCACTGCCTTTTATTGATATGAACGTTATTGGTGCTTATTTTAATGAATAACCTGGACGTTATTGGTGCTTTAATGAATATCACTGTTTTTACTTTGTCGCCTTATCTATTAATTTGTCCCATTACACTTTTTACTTCGACGGTCGTCTTTTTTATCTTTCCTTCAATTGATGCGGCTTGGGAAAACATTTGATTAGGCAAAGCAAGCTCTACAAGATGGCTATCAAGAATCTGTGCAAATCGTAATCCAAGTAAAGTTTTGAGCTGAAATATGGTAGTTGTCGAAAACGAACTTTTTTATGGAAAATCGTATCTCCCCCCCCCCCCAAAGTATCTAAAAAATTCCAAATTTATTCTGACATATGATTGACACATCGCACATTCGATTGCATAATTTTCGAATTTTTTCCGCTAAAAATAAAGAAAAATGAATGAGGTAAAATGGCAAACTCCGCCCCTAGAGGTCCTGAGCTCCTCCCACACACGTGATTATATAGTTCATACATACAGAAGTACGACCATGTATTTGAAAATTTCGAAGGTGCTTCAGTTCTCGAGAAAGGCTGATGTTTAAGGTAAAAACGGTAAATGATTATGGGACACGCCGATATTTCACTGCATTTCAAGCATTCTATGTCTCAAGTCCTAGCAAATCTTTCCTGCGTTCCATAACTTCTATCTTCAGGTATCAGTCACGTGTCAATTCATTTTCAGTTGTTACCGATGCAAATAAATTTGTAATTTTAGCTCTTGCGTGAGCATAAGAAATAATCATCCAGAGGCTCTCAGGCGACAGCCGCGAAGCCACCGCCTAGCCTCACTAAAAGCTCTGTGCCTTGTCGCTGCCATTATCGCTTCACGCTAAGAAACGCACAGCAGTGAGCGGGCTGCAAAAGCGGCAGTGAGTGGGATGCTACAACCAGCAACGCTGCTATATGACCTTTAGTGCAAAGTGATATTGGCAACGATAAGGCAAGGAGCTTTTGGAGGGGCTGAGCGATGACGTGGTGGCTCCTGCTAAGAGGTTTTGATTGTCCGATACGTATCACATCTCGACGGGAGGCCTACAAGAGGAGATCGCAGGCAGGATCAATGGCTCAGCAATTTTCGACTCAAAATTTCTTGCTTAAGTGGGGTAACCCGACGCGGTAACTTCGAAAACTCACTTGGAGCGCGCGAAAATGGCGAAAATCAGCATTTCTTTAAGCCCTACTTTGAAGTCAGACGGGTAGAAGCTCCCTCCAGGTTTGGAGAGGTAGAGTGGTTGACCCTTATGGTTACAACATTGCGGCATGCCGCCTTCTACGCTGTCAATCGCGAGTTTGTCCAAACGCATGTGAGAATGGCTTGCGCGGAGGTTGCGGCAGTTCTTCCGGCGAGGGCAGCATGCTCGCTCCAACTTGCTCTGTTTTCATATTTGGTATGTAAGTAATCTACCACATCAATTTTTCGAGATGTTCAGTTTAATCGAGCCACTTCGAGTCCCAACTATGCCGGACCGTTTCCGTCCAGCAGCACTGTATGGCAGTGAGTGCTGGCCATATACGCGGAACTAGGAGCACAAGCTCGGTGTCATGGAGCAAGGATAATACCATGAACCTTAGCCACACCGAAAGGTCACTACAATGACACTATACGACCTTACCTCAGAACAGCTTTTAATGCAGGAAAACAAGCTACAATGGCATGGACCTGTGCACAAAAGGGAAGAAAGTCACTCAAAGGGCTAGTCTTGGCGGCGGAGACACCAAGCACAAGGGCCGGAGGTAGGCCCAAGATGAGGTTGATGGCCAGAATAAAGACCGATTGAGAACTTGGAGTAGGTGAAGATTTTCCCTCGGATAGGAAAACATGAAGACACCTAAGAAGTAAACCAAACTGTGCATAAGCGGTACCAATGCAAGGGAAAGAAGCAATTTTTGGAGTATGATTTTAGTTGGATGACTTTGATCTATAAATGCCAAGCATCGAGCATCACTGTATTCTGCACAAACAGTAAGCTTGGATCGTTTTTCGGAACTGCGGAAACTTCCTGTATTTTAAGCGAAACAAATTTTTGATCGTATAGTTCATTGTTTATGACATTGTCTACTGTTCCGGGTATAAAGATTCTGTACTGTATAGGCACCAAGTGGACTTTCTCACAATTTTTTCTATAACGTACTTCTGTTCTGGAATTCTTTGTAGAGGTGAAATATGAGCATTTAAAGAATATGTGTGTGCATCTTATCTATCACTCAATACCACATTATTTGAGAACACTCGTGACTTTATAATGTATCACTTTCTTAGCTTTAAATAAGAATTACGTAAATCAAGCAATTCTTTAGGTATCGAGACAAAAGTAACAACGTCATTTGCCTAGTTGGCTCTGGGAATTATTTATCTTGATTGAATTTGCCTGTTTAGTGATCCGCAATATTTATTCTTCCTCATCAGTACCATATGTCCGTCACTCATCGCAATAAGGTTCTTCTTGTGTCTTCTTGTATCTTTACTGACTGTTGTCCGGTTTTCAAAGTTAAAGAGGTTGGTGTTGTGCGTAAACGTCCACTTGCTGATGGTTTTCTCTAGAACATAGATACACAGTGCTGAAAGTTCTATGGAAAAAGAAGAAGAAAGAAATCAAGGAATAATTTTGTTACCTTATCATTTTGTGGGAAGGATAGCCTGCCAATATCAAGATGTAAAGTCAAAGTTATTGGCAAAATTAATGGACAGGTCAGCAGCTCTGAAATGTTTGGATTAAAATAACACAGCGGACCTCATACCGATAAATGTTGCAGAGGATATTTTAGTGAAAGAAATGAATGAAAAAATGGAGGCATCATTATTGGAGCGAAACAAGACGAAAGAAATAAAGAGGAGGACGGAAAAGAATGGAGAGCGAGGAAGACGAAAAGAAGGAAAGAAAGAGAAAGAAAATGTGAGTAGTGAGTAGCTGACTTACCTTTAGTATCCGGCCTTTTCTTCTCATTCAACTGTAACAAAGTATCTACAAGACCTTTGATTTGTGCAGAAGCGTGGCTTCCAATTTTTGGATATGCACACTGGAAATTTTTCACTTAAGAAATCAAAAACTTCAACACAAAATGGTAAAATCTTCCAAGTAAGTTGAAGTTACGAGACTTTATAAATTACAAAATCACTATGAATCACGAGATACAAAAATTTTGCGAAAAGAGGGAGTAAGCATAAGCGACTCAAAAACAAAGAACTTACCTTGGTAATTTTCATCACTATAGCTGGTAAGTTTTCACCATCAAATGCTCTTTTTAGCTCCAATAGCTCGTATAAAACACATCCAAGTGACCAAAGATCACTTTTTTGATTGTATGCTCTGCCTGAAAGACAAGCAATTCTGAAAAATCTTTGTATTGAAATACAGTCTTCGGAGTCATGTAAATGCGCACATGAACAGAACTAAAGCTTTACTATTTTAATTAATTCGTTTAATCACAAATGAGAGTTCTGTAGGATGAACCAAAAAGATAATTTTGCTCTTAAATTATCAAAAAACGCAAAGTTAGAGTAATTGTCAACTTTTTGACCGTGACAGAAAATCAAAAATTCAATTCAGTATTTGTAATGATCCATAAAACAATGGAATATTTTTATACTTGCGGGAGGCCATTTGCCATATATACAGTTTTTGATAATAAGAAAAGCGAGTCGAATTTTGAAGCTTACCTTCACAGATTTCAGGGCTAAGATAGTTAGGTGTTCCTATAACAGTTGACGCAAGACTCCTAGTGGTAAGCTCTTTGGAAATCCCAAAATCGGATAATTTTACTAGCGTCTTCTTTCTGAAAATTTTGATGAATTAATACAAGCTTTTTTCGCTAATTCTTTGATGACCAGAAATTTATAGTAAATTTTACCTGTTCAATAAGATATTTTGTGTCTTGAGATCTCTATGCACAATTTGCTTCGAGTGTATATGATTGAGCGCAATGAGAATCTATAACTTTTAAATATTGTCCAAACTCTCATGTTTGCTATATTACCTGCGTAAAGTAGTTGAGTACCGTCGCTTCCGGAAAATTCACTCCTGAAACTTAAGCAAAGGTTTATTTGAGCAATCACGTGAAAAAGAAAGATTTTGCCTTTACAGGGCTCGGCACAGGTGGCTTACAAGAAAGCTGGATATCGTTTTTGGGACGAAAAGCAAAGGGGATTTCGTTTTTGTGAGCGAAGACATACGGAAAATTGACGACGGCGACCTTTTATTTTAGTCGACGTTTCGTTTTTTGGGGGATTTTCGGGAATTTTTTCAGGTTTTTAGAAGAAATTTGGTTCAGGGTCAAAGGGGACTTCGTAAAAATTCCCAAAAATCAAGGAGGACTTCGTTTTTTCCATTTTCATCTAGCCACCTCGTGCCGAGCCCTGCGCCTTTATACCACTAGAACGCAGCAAGAGGCTATTTGATAAGTCATTGCTTGTTTTTTTTGGAAAGTTGAACTGTGAAAGCTACTAAATTGGAAGTCTTGCACCGAAATTTCCACAATCACAATTTCTCGGTTTCAAAGTATTTGATAATATTAATATAGCACAAAGTGAAAAAAAAACGATGCGATTTTTTGTGCTTTAGGTAAAATTCATACTGGTATACTGACTGTCAGCCCAAATAGATATGAGTGAATTTGCACCAAAAATGTGAACTCGTTATAAGGTTAGAAAAACCAATCTCATTTGACCAATGTCATATACACTTATTTTATTGCATATAATAATTCATATTCTATTAAGCTGTTAAAGGTTTTATTCTTATAATCAAAAAGTTGAATAAAATGAATTTTAAAATCATGACTGACCAGCCATCTAATCAGCACTAAGTTTAGCTTGGAAAAGTTCCTATTAAAATTAGATTTGAATTCGGTATTTTTTTTGAGCAAATCTGGCTATCAAAACTCAAAGAACCACTAATTATACCAATTGTAAATTTATCATTGTGATACGCCAACTGTAATTTTGGGTTCAAGCACCCCTAGATAGCGCACAGTCTCTTTTAAAGTCAAACGTTTTCGCTGGAGTAGAAGGAAACTGATTTTCCAAAAATTTTAGTGCAATATTACGTAGAATAACATCAGCATCAAACAGTAGGACGGTACAAAAACTCCAAGTAAACTTTTTCAAACCCAGTTCTAAAGCGCAAATGTACCAAATAAGCTCAAAGCATGTTGCGGTTCGTATGAGTAAGAACTAGAAAAAAGATAAAAAAGCTGAACCTTTTTGCTCCTGTACAAGTTTTTCCATCGTGCCGCCTTCAGCATATTGCATCACAATAGCAAGCTGGTTCTCGAACACGAAGTAATCATAATAACCAATTATCATCGGATGATGCATCTTTTGCAGTAATTTCACTTCGCCTAAACATTTGAAGACAGCTGAACGAGTTTCTAATGGAGGAATGCACTTACTCATAATAGATTTCTCCTCATCAGGACTCATTCCATGTATGAAAATTGTCTTCACTATTACCTGAAATTCTCAAGGTATGTTACGAATTTCGCAGAGGGGGTTTGGCCATTAACTGAACACTTAGTTTATTGTTTTCCACTTCAAAACTAATCACACTCTTTGCACGAACATAATCTGCAAAAAGTTTGTTTGTACTGTGGAACATAAGTGCTCCTTGTTTCTTGATTTCCAATGTTGCAATTTTTGGAGATTAACCTTTGTTCGCTCCCCTTCAAAACTTCTAAAAAATGTGCCATACTCAGTAATAACTTAGGTAGAATATTGAAAGTCATGGTAGGTATGCGTAGCTTTTTTCCCACTTTAATCATCAAAAATTTGATTGTACCACTTGGACGCAGCTTCCAGGCAACTAACCCCCTCCATTTCGTACCTATTATGAATGTAGGCCCCAACACAGGGTCATGTGGTTGGCCCGGTCCGCCAATGTTGTCTTTGGATAGAGATAATGGACCTAGAACTCGCGAAAGTGCTATCTAGCCACGCCCACCCTATCAAGCTCCGCCCATCAAAATACTGAAAGTTACCCTCGCTTTCAAGTCTAGATCCCCAAAAATCGGATTTTTTTTGGAGGTTTTGCACACTTTGCACTTCATAACTGTAATCATAGCCATGGAAAGGCCTCAGAATGAAAAAAAACATGGAAGAAATTCTGGGTGGGTGTGCCTTCAGCTGCACTAACAACATATACATATGAAGCTGTTTGATCAAATTAGCGAGTCCAAAATTCTAAGCACAAGTTTTCAGACGTTTTGAGAGTTTTAATAATGACGACATCGTGGTGGAAGTTTCTACCTAATCTTACAGTAATGAAATGCAACGGTTGATTCGTTCTGTGCTGTTGATTTCGTCAAAGCCCTCATACTATGCTATTCAAAGGTAGTAATTACGGAAGATTTATTAGCAATCAAACGGTTCTGTTGACTGATTTTCGTTTTTCTCACTGTTATTGGAAACGTCTTGCATAAGCGCAACGAGTACCGAACGGCTTCGAAACCCTCAGAGAAAACATTAAGCGTATTGAAGGCAAAATCAAAATTTTTTACTTACAACCACAGATTCGAAAAAGATTTTTGTAAATACATCTCGTTGATTAAGGTTCATAGAGTAAACAAAGATTTGTTACTGTATTCTAATTGCAATAATTTTCGTCTTTTCACGTCTCCTCTAATTGGTGAGAATGTTCTATCCTAGGACGATTCATTGGCCACATTTCCTTTAATGTATGGGGAGGAAATCATAAGATTTTGCGAAACAACTCGCTTCTCAAAATGCCATGTTGATTAGAAACAGGTATTCGACTTATAAACGTTGTTGCATCTTTAGATTAGAAATTTTTCTCTTATGGGCATTGAAATTAAAATGATAGTAATTTTGTAATGATAATTTTTAAATTAAATTTTCTAAGATCCTTCAGAGTTATCTGTGAGTTTTCTGATCATATAAACGCTTTTGACTTTAACTATCAAAGATGCTGTTGACGTTACTTTTTCAAAAAAATACAAGGACAAACATTCACAAGTTTCGGACATTTCTAAGAAAAGGCATCAATTCTGTAACAAACTGTGAACTGATGACTCTCAGACAGGTCTAATTTAGAAACAGATGAACCTATGCGGAAGTAATTTAGACGTAAAAATACTACCAGACTTCAAAGAACAAAAGATGTCATACGATTTACAGAGTACAGGTTTGAAAAAAATTGCATCCAATGTAGACTCCGCTCAATACTAGAACTTCAAACTAAGGCTCAGGAGCAACCAGCAATATAGAAGAATGGAAAAGGCCTTAGTAACACGCATGCTAATTTCCTTTCAATACGACCAAAATCACAAATTTGATTGTATCGTTCTCCTTCCAATTCTACTCCACTAAGTGAAAAACATAAATAGTTAGTGGAACTACGGTACCTCACCGTAACGTTACAGTAACCCAGGTGAGAAACTAATAAAAGAGATTTTTGAAAAACGAATAGCGACCAGGTCAAAGGAGTTCTTGAATAAAGCAAAGCAGATCATTTCTCAGAAAGATAGGGTAGGGGGGGGGGGGAGGGGATAAAACGAAAATTATGAATAACGGTTAAGCTGATTTATTGCAAAAACATATGATTCATCCATACAAGCTCCCAAGAACCATTAAAAATGATGTGAACGACACAGAGAGGAGTATATATGTATTAAATTATCAGCTAATAAAGGTCTTGCTTTAGCACAGTTCTAGGATCTTTTTTGAGTAAAAAAAAAAGAAATGATCAATAAAAATTAGAAATTTCTCCCTCCGCGATATAAATTTGTTATAGGTGTTACTTGCTCAATTTTTGCTTTATCAACCTTTCAAACTTCATTTGATTGCTAGTTGATCATGTGACAAAGTTGTCTATTTGATTTGTACCAACTTATTGTTAGTCGGAATTTCGTTAATAGAAATCTTGGTCCAACCTTTTGAGCTAACGGATCCTCTCTTCTACGGCATAGCCAGCAAACACCATATGCTCCACGGCCAACTACTCGAATTTTTTCATAATTTTCCATTTTCTATCTATCAGCATATCTCTACGTATGCTGATCCTGAAAATATCCCAATTTGGGATTTACTGTCTACAAAACAGTTGGTAATTATTACATTTATTCACCTTCATGCGAGGTGCGCAGAAAAGCACATGAAGCGCCATGAAAAGAGATGATTGGAATCAACACATATGTACATGAATTAGAAAATGAATCATAATGGAAACAATGCGAAGAAGAACATGAAAATGATTGTGAGACTTGAAGGAGAGCGTAGAGAGCGCAATCGATGCAGAACAAGTTCTTCTTCGGGGGGGGGGGGGGGGCTACGGGTTGATTGGCGGGGAGAAACACATACGCACGCAGAAAACACACACATTTACGTGGGGCCAAACTGGGAGAGAAGAGACGGGGCAAGTCCCCCCCCCCCCCCCCGTGTGTGGATAAGAGAGACCGATAAAACCGCACACAACCACAAACATCGCCTAGATGGAGTGGAGATTCTCTGACTGTCGACAGCTAACCATGTACAACTAGATGTATGTTTGGCAAATTGGAGAAGAGAGAGGGGGGGGGGGGAGGGAAGGGGGACAAATTAGAGACATTAATGGCTCGAGTGTGATGAGATCATAAAACCGTAGTCCTGGAAACTGGATGGCCTGGTTGACTATTTGTACTCGTATTTCTTCAGTATAGTCTGCTTCTTGACTGTAGCCTACATATGCCCGTTTGAATCAGCGCGATCAATCTGAAAATAGAACTTCTATAGTTTGATTCAACGTGGGAGAGATATAACCTCTATTCATCTGGTTTGGCGGCTGTGAGGCGGGACTTTGTGGTCTAATTAAGGCCGCTCGCGCCCGCGACGCAGCCTGCGTCTCTCCCGCGCGCGTGCTCTCTGATCGCCCAGCCTTAATTATAGGTCATGAGGCCCCGCCTTCCAGCCGCTAAGCCAGCTGAATCAAGGGGTAACATTATCCATAAAAATAGCGTTTATTCTGAAAAAAAAAACAGCGCTACTTTTTGCGTAGACTTCCAGAATGAAGGCCGAGTATTGTTTCCTAATTTAAAAAGTGCGATTGCACACAATCCAATCCAATCCTGGCGTTCGCGTTAGGGATTTATATGTCGCCGATAGGCTCCACCCCGCGCGGAGAGCTGGTACAAAATTATGGCGTGTAATGTGTGCAGCTGCGTGGTCTATCAAAGAAATCCGCATGGGACCACCCTTTCGGCGACATATAGTCCCCTCTACGAAGTTAGGGGTAAGAACTCCGCCATTTCGAGGCGACTTCGCGGACAACTGACCCTTTTGCAGTGTTTCTGCGTGTCATTTCAGGACCAGTAGTCCACGGGGGCGGTCCAAACTGGCGGAGTTTGTTACCCTACCCTGCCCGGCGTTCGCTACCACGAATCTTCGTGGCAACTAATAACTTTGTCGTAGATCAATTATAATTCACAAAAAAGGACTAGTCGCCTATATTGTACCCAATCTGAGGATATGCGTTCCGTTATGTGCGTTCTACATAACCCCAGAATCTACGCGCGATGTGCATGTTGTGTGCAATCGCACACATTGGCTTTAAATCCGACTCGCTGAACAGTCATCCTAAGCTGCAACACGTTATATTGCTCGAGGAACAACGCTTGAGTCATTTTATAAGCCTAGTTTCGCACTGATAAAGTAGAAAATAAACATTTTTGAAAGCTTAGATGTGTTTTTTCCGATTTTCATAAAATGTGTGCGTGAAATCAGAATTCGAGTGAAAAAACATCTTTCACACATTTTGAGCGTAATTTAAACGTTCACGAGTTTGCACACTCACTTAAACTGCAAGATCGGTAATCAATTTTTTCAACGTTAGTCCAAGAAATCAAGAACTTTGTACAGAATGTTCAGTGTTTTGTCACTGCTTGTTGCGATCACTTCAATTTTTAATTATTTCAAGATAAGAATGTAAAAGATCATTTCAGTCGAATTCAAGCCGAGTTAGCGAAACCTGCCTTTAACTTGAAAGTTATCAATAAAAGTGATTTATCTACTTGTCCACATTTTTGTTAACTCCATACTAACTGTGAATTTCCAAAAAAGTGATAGCAATTCGAATATTTATATTTGAAATAAAAAAGTTCTAGACCGCAAAACTACCTGGAAAAACAGGGAATAAGATCCTTTCGATGTATTTAATAATTTATACCCGCAAATCTCATTGAATACAGGCCATACAGCGACTTAAGAGCTAAAAAGCCTATGACCGTGGCTGTTTACCGTGACGTCACCAGATTGTGAAAAATTTGAGTTTCCGAAAAAAAATTTATGGATTTAGATAGATTGTAGGGCGCTGATTCCGAATCTGTGTTCCATTCTGCTCAAAAATGATTTTGAAGGGAGTTACGAGGTTGCGGCGCTTTCAACGCGACATCGCGTTTATTTCGGAAATTTTAAAGGCGGCACCGATGGTATTGTATGATATAACTATTCGCGGTTTGAAACAGTTTAGATAACAAAACAATCTCTACTCAAGCTTGAGAAACTCGTAATGGTCTCACTTCCAGCGAGTGTATACTATTATGTTTCTTAAATCTCGTTGTACAGTTTGACGTAGAAATTCACATCAGCTGATTGCACGAACGAAGCTTTGAATGTCCTTGAGGCCTTGTTTTCGCTAATCAAGTGTAAAGAGAGGAATTTGATTTGCTGCTATTTGCGGTATCATCTGATTCTAAATGAAACTGGCTGCTAGAAAAACTGTCCTTTGAACCAATCAATATGTGTCTTTTAGTCCAATCAATAACTTTCTAGGTATTTGTTTCTTTGAGCTATTTTCCTTGTGTGGATATACTGTTAAACAAAAGAATCTGCTTCAGGCTAGCTGATGCGAAATTTTTCATATGTCACAACGTTGTTGTTTTGTTGGAGGTAACGATAAATTGTGGATTGGTACGGTAGGTGTACGGTAAGAAATCACCATGCTAGCTTAGATATTTGCGTACACACCGTACCTTCATGACCACAACAGTGCAATATATTAGGTTGGCGGATAATTTCCGTTACCTTTTTTATATCTTAAAAACTTTCAGAAGTTCTCTAGAATCCTCAAAGTTGCTCCATATGTAGGCCACAACAGGGCCTATACAACAGTATGACAGATGCCGCAAACACACAAATAGCTAGCAAGTTTACGACAACCTTATAAATGCATATACTGCATATTATTTATTTATAATAATAATATTGATTTATTTATTTATTTTCATTATTTCACTCACACTATTTAACTGCTTGAGCTAATTACGACTTCTTTGGAAGCCTTCCATTCAAATAAAGATACAACTGTAGAAAATTGAATTTTCCGCCTCACTCACGTAAATTTGTCTTTGCAGAAGAAATAGAGACCGTATTTTACGGAACATTCCCAAATTTTAAGACCCACCTTGATCATAGGAATCGTATTGGCAGTGTCCCTAACAACATCTTTAGTTGGCGAACGTCGTGAATTCATTGCTGAGCAGCTTCTCTAAAAAAATTCTAAATATTTTCCGAGAAATTTAGTACAACATTCCCAAGCTTACCGTTCTCTTCCGCTTACAATATGACAGCACTGATGTCCGGAAGCCTTTATTCATAAAACAATACGTCACCGGATTTGTTGTCGAAGAGATATACGTAAGTATTACGAGTGCCATATTGAGTCCCGAATGCCATATAGGATAACCCTGGAATGTGACCGATCGATATTATCAATCGATAATTTATTTAATCGAAACTGCATGAAGCCCAAGCCGGTTTGTTTCCATATCACACTAATTTCACTTTTGAAAGTGTGAAACATTTCGAGGGCGTGTCTAGAAACTAGGGGGTAAAAAGAGCGGCTAGAAAAGGAAGCAGAACGAGTTTGTCTGGATTCTCAAGGTCTTTTTATGAACGGAGTGTTGTCTAACAGAAAAACGCAGAAATTAGAAGCAGTCGCAAAAGTTGGCAAACACGAAATGTGCCAAAAAGATGCTGAATTTACAAGGTTGGGACGGAAGGTTCATTCGCGCCATTTTCAAAAATTCACAATTTTTTTATTTTTGAATGAGTTCCCTGCAGTATATTCTGTTCGAAAGAAGAATATTATTTTTCTCATCAGTGTTTAACGCTCCCTACCATGCATAGATAGTAGCTCTAACACCAAATTATTAAAAAAAATTTTGGAAAATTCAAATATTGCACGAAATTCGAGCAGACGGTATTATACGGGCTTTTATCTGACCAAAAGTTTACGCGGATTGGTTATCCCTATGATAAGTTATGATTTACGAGTAATAGCCAAAAGAAACAGATATAGTGTTTTGTCCTATTGCTCGAAAATCATAAATTTTGAATGCAACCAATCCGTGCAAACTTTGCTCGGTTAAAAGAGCAATAAAAGTGAATTTTTTGAAAATGATGCGACGGAACTGTCCTTCCAACTTAATAGTTTATTTAACGTAAACTCTCTGATAGAAAAGTTGCCTAAAATGTCTTTGTGGGAGTGATAATATAACCTTTGATTTAACTGGCTTGGCGGCTAGAAGGCCGGGCTTTGTGACCTAATTAAGACCGCTCGCTCCCGCGACGCAGCCTGCGTCTCTCCCGCGCGCGTACTCTCTGATCATTATCTAGCCTTGATTACGTCACGAAGCCCCTCCTTACAGCCGTCAAGCCAGTTGAATCAAAGGGTAATTTCTTTGTAGACGGTAGGCATGCAGATTCTTGGACCTTTGAGAATCATGATCAAACTACCTCTAATCCGAATTCCATGAGAAGAAAAAAGCCTCGAAAAATTTCCTCTAAGGTAACAAAGTTTTTTGTCTAAGCTTTAGCACAAAAATGAACAGAACGCATTTTGAACTGATTGACTATCACTTCCAAAATTTTCTAAAGCGCAAATCGAATGACATGCCCAAAATAATTACCAATAAAAGAATACTCTAAAACATTCGGATATAAGTTTTGGACTAGTTTTCCCTAAATTTCCCGCTTCACTCTCTATAGATGAAGGCGATGAGGCGGAGCACATCTTGTTTAACGTGTATCACCATTCTAACCATTGTCAAGCTTGCAATATAAGTAACTAGCTGGCTTACCCGGCTCCGCCGTATGTTCCGAATAGAAAATTCCATTTCTCAACCGATCCGGACCAAACTTGGCACACATACCCTTCGGGCCCCGGCGGGCGTCACAGTCCACTTTTCGTTATCGATTGATGTCGATTTTATCGATTTTTTGCAAAATTTGAGCTAGGGGGCTGGAATTTGGCAGGGGGTGTAATCGAGCATGCTGATCACCCCCACGGGGGTGATCAGCATGCTCGATTACCCCCCCCCCTGTGCCAAACCCCAGCCCCGTAGCTCAAACCTTGCAAAAAAATCGATAAAATCGATAAAAGTAATGCAGTGGGGGTGATCAGCATGCTCGATTACACCCCCTACCAAATTCCAGCCCCCTAGCTCAAATTTTGCAAAAAATGGATAAAATCGACATCAATCGATAACGAAAAGTGGACTGTGACACCCGCCGGGGCCCGAAGGGTATGTGTGCCAAGTTTGGTCCGGATCGGTTGAGAAATGGAATTTTCTATTCGGAACATACGGCGGAGCCGGGTAAGCCAGCTAGTACATCAATATTTGCCATGGGCACACGCCGCACTTAATTGCTTGATCCAGTTGATCCACTTTATTTATTACATTATTGGTCAAACCGGTGAACTGATCAATAGCGAAGCTATGTCCACGTGATCCATTTGAGTCACTTCATGCGCAAATAAGGAAACAATTTGTCTTAAACAGCTATAGGAACATCTAAAAGACATTGAAGGAATTTTTCTTTGATTATTACAGCAGCCTCTAAAAATAATCACAAGTGGCCTTATTCGCGGTTGCCTAGCTTCTTTTTCTAACCATTTTCCGGACGTGGAGATAAATGTGTCTGCATTTGCATCAGTTTTTGTCTCAACTGTTTTCCAGCAAAGCTAAACTGCAGAAAATCGCATTGATCAGTCAAGGGAAAGCTATAGCTGCACCAAAATTTACTTCGATCCGTTCTGAGGAGTTTTTGCAGAAAAACAACAACGTAAGCGAAGTTAGTCATGAAGAGCAAATATTGAATACTCAATTGTGGCTAAAAATGGCTATGAATACTCGTCATTCCTTGTTTGATTATTTGGTCCAGTCTCCTCCCTTTATTCATTCATTTACAACCTCCCACCCCGACCATATATGACGAACAAATGTTTTCACTCAAAAATCCCCAAAATTCATCACAAAGCAGTTTTTTGCCGCTCTGTTGGAAAACACATGCGGCTGTAATTCATAAGCATAGGCTATCTCCCTGAGGGGCTTAGCAAAAACAAATTATCCCGACGCGAGCTTGGCAGATATCAATGTTGTATAAGTTTACATGACTGAGCATCGGCTTTTAGCCAGGATTAAAAATCGACCGCAAAAAATTTGCGCTGATGGTAAAATTTTGCAAATGTTCTGTATCAGATATAGATTATCATGTGAAATAATATCATGGGCTTCACTCAGAAGTTTGTTACATAAGTTTTCATTCTGGTTAATGTTAGGCTTATATTCCGAAAAGAAGTTGAAAAATTATTTTGTCAAAAAATCAATCCTGGGCGCTTAAGTTTTGTTCAAAAGATTATGCTAATAGGATGTAGAAGTACATGAAAAAGTGAAACGAAGGCAGCTCTTATTGAAAGAAAATTTCCCAAAAAAATTTTCAAATTTCATTTCAGTAAGAAAAACTTACAGCAGGATCGCTAAATATTTGCATGTACCAGACTTGGAAACCAAAGGGAAGTCATAGTTTCTAGTGGGTACAAAGAATAGACCCACAGAGAGTAATAAAAAAAATTTACAAAAAATCTACTCAAAAAATTCAACTTTTCGATTTTAGGCATTATTATAATATAAACAATATTTATTTATAAGTGTTTGACTTCTCATTGAAGGTTGCTCCCATAGATCTGACGTTTGATTATGAAACCTTGTATGAAATTTTGTAGAAAAAATCAAATGGTTCTACATTTTTGCGTTTGTTATTTTTTTCAAACCTCGTCTTCCTCTTAGGTCTCAGGGCAAATAACACAAATGTTGTAAAAATACCAATAAGTTTGCCGCCGATCCCAGCATCAAAAAAATTTGAAAAATACGTGGAATGCTACGGCTCCTGCCTTACACCTATCGTACCCCTACCGTATTCCGGCAGATTATAAAAAATGCAAAACGTTTGATCTCAAAAGGCACTCACCGCAAGATCAGAAGCCCTAACGAGCAGCCACCAAAGATGATTTGGCAACCAGCAGGCAGCAAATGCCACAACTATCGTTATCAACATTCGTGTAACTTTTTTCTTTGCCGTCAAAATCTTTTCCTGTAAAGAAAATTTTCCAGAAAATACAAGAAAAATTACTTTCACTAACCTGATTAGTGCTGCGAAGTAACATAGAAGTATCAAAACTGCTCCTAGGTGTTCCAAACAAAGTATTGATGGACATGAGACGAGAAGATGGTCGAGATATGGATATAGAATTTTTCTTCGTATCGCAAATTGACAGCGAGTGTTCTTTTGATTTTTCCTGGAATGGGTGTAGTTTCTTACGTCTCTAAAAAATTATATCTTTTGGATAGCATTATAATGACGCTTCTGTCAACCGCAAAAAAGCGTTTTACAAAATAAAATTGGCAGAACTTTATCGCCCCCTCCTTCCAAGAAATGATGGCGGAATTTTTGATAGTGTGTATGAATCACGTATGTATTGGAAAATATCATGAACAATTTCCATGAATTCTTCTCGCCTCTCTATCGAAAAAAAAATCGGAAGATTTTGTGGGACCGTCGGCGAATATATCGTAAACCTATTGTATACCTACCAGGCTGCCCTTCTGCCAAGCTCAAACATTCTTCGATAGAAACTAATATATTTTACTTTCCACAACATTTCCGAATAAATTTTTTGAAATCGGGGTTGTCATATTTAGAATAAAAGTGAAATTTCAATTCTGTGCTTACCTTAACATTCAGCCCATTGAAGCTTGGCACACGTGAAACCGAAGAGAACAGCCACTCTGAGAAAGTTGTCATGGGCAAATCTGAAAACGACAAAATTAGCTGGTCCCTTTCTTGAGCTCCCAAGGACTTTCCCAGCAGCTTTATTCAATTGTTGCTCAAGCAGAAAATCCCGCGAGGGCCATTCCCTACCCTTGGGTGACAGATATGACGGAGCTCAGACTCGCGCTGATTTTTCACCCCCCCCCCCGCTCACGCAACACCGAGCAGCGACTCACATTACTTATGCTGAGCACATGTGACGTGTGAAGTTTGTTTTCGTCAAGGGGTCCCTTCAAGTGCCCCCGGGGCCCTGTTTAACCGAGATTGGGTGTCAAGAGGGGGTTATTTATAGGCAAGGACTATTTTTGGCTTTATTATTTTTATTTTTGGCTCACCTGTTTGGATGAGCGATTGCGGCATGGACGGGTTGTCGCTGACCACGGCTGTTGAGAGGGTGTAGATTACATGGCCGTAAAGGCTGATCATCGCACAGAGCGGGATGAAGAGTAGGACCTGAAGGTGAACATCTTCAGATTCCATAGAGTGAGTTAATAAAACCTTAAAGTATTAGGTCGTAACATAAGTTTTGTCGCACTTAAAGGAAAAAACCTTTATAACTTTCTCAAGTAGCTTTTTTTCATTTCCAACTTGGTTTGTGGGCTGCAACTTTTCAGTGGGCGCAAGTCACAAATCAAATTTTCGGATTTTTAAAAAAATTGTAGGTATTAAAGTCTAAACATTTTCGTAAAACCGATTAATGTGAGTAAAATATAATGATTACATCACTGTGATTTCCTTTTTATCTGCTTATCCGTACATGCTCTCTGTTTGTTCAACTTTTGGCAGAAACTCTACCCAACCACTTACCAAAGTAACATAAAGTTGATAGAAAAAGCTGAACAATGGTCCCTTCGTTGTGTCACACACTGTTTTGTGTGGAGAGTCAAAGATGATTAATGAGCCGATGTTGCAGGCGAACGAAAAAGCCCACACCATTGAGATGGTAAAAAGCGCCCGCTTCTGAAATTGATGACCCGGTTCAGAAGATTCTCAAAAGGCTTGAGCTTGCCAGTATTGTACCTTCGTCCTCCATTTTCGGGAATGTAATGGTCGACAGATTGCATAGTATCGTTCAACCGCAATCACGGCCAAAGTGTAGGCAGAAGCACAGACGCCAACCGCTAAAAATGCGATTTTATCATTTAACAAATTGATCACCACTTATTTTACTAGTAGTGTTATAAATGCTAATATTCCTGCCATTACTATCTTTGTTATTACCAGTTTTATCAATATTATCGAAATTATCACAACCCTTGATAATATAAAAATTGTTAGAATTATTATTACTCATCATACTAGGCGAAGTCGTCCGAGAATTTTTAACCAGGGTGGAAAGGAGAGAGGTAAAGCGCTACCAGTTTTCTATTTCAGTTGAAGAGATAGCTCTCCAAAACTTTTGCGGGCCCTATAACCCTGTAGTTTTGCGGTCCAGGATTTTTTTGCAAGGCTGATTTGCACTCTAAAAATAGCATAATTCCATTTTATATGTGCATCCCGAAGCAGTAATGCTAAAAATTCTGCAGACAATAGATTTTCGTGCCAGTCGCCTACAGCGAAAAACATTCATCATGAGTTTCGTCCACTCAAAAAAAATAATTGTAAGCAGAGAGCTCGAAAATCTCTAAAGAGGAACGAATGGTTGTTAGGCAAGAGTTGTGCAAAATGGGTATTTCTAGATAAAGCGCTATATAGCAAAAAAATAAAGAATTTGTTGACGGCAACAAATTTCGTAAATTTATTAAGTTAGCAACCCTATTTCATTTTCTTACAAGGAAACGATACTCGGTGTCCGTGGCCTTTTGAGATGAGTTGTATACCATTACACTCATCTTGGAACGCTGATTCCGAATCTGACTTCCGTTTCTGCTAATCGCTTCAAAGATGTTATAAAGGATTGTGCGGGCTTTGGCTGCCCACTGAAATACGTTCGGAGCGCCACACGCAATGGGGCGTTGTGGTCTAGTGGTTAGTGCGATAGGCTCACATTGGTTGATGCAGTTGTAGGTTCGGATCTTTTCGTGTTTTTCAGTTTTGCATTGCCTCATAAACCTTCTTTCGCATCTTCGAGCTAACTGAACGTCCTTACTCTTCAAAAAATGTGGAAATTTGGAAAAAATGATTACCATTTGCGCTAAAATTTATCCAGTGATCATAATTCGAGTAAATCTCGAACAAGTTTAATTGAGGCAGTGCAAAATAAAAACACAAAAGGACGAACCAACATCTGCATCAAGTTATGAGGCTATCACACTAACCACTAGACAATAACATGGCGCCGGTAGAGGCCGTTCCAATGACCACCCTTAGACGGCCAAAGTTGGCTCGAAATTCCTCCATAACTTTTTTCAGAGAAACATTAGCAGAAACGGAAGTCAGATTCGGAACCAGCGTTCGAAGACGAGTGTAATGGTATACATCTCGTCTCAAAAGGCCACAGACATTGAGTATCGTTCCCTTGTTAGTGATTATAATCTACAATTTTTTGACTGGAAAACTGGGTCGAACGTTTTGATACTTTTTCTACAATTTAATCTTTGCCAAAAGTACAGCATTTATCCACAATCCGTTCTTCTCTTATAATATCAAACGTTGTCGCAAATATTTTCAAGGAAAGGTGCTTATGACGTATTGGGAAATCTAAGATGAACATTTCTAGGGCTTTATACTGTTTCTTCGGCTAAAATACTTTAGAGGGGGAGGGGGGGGGGGATAGGCGGTAAGGCAGTGACCTCGTTATAAGAACCAGATTCAATTTTCCATTAATGTTAGTTGTAAATATTCTTCCTCGGTATGTCTGAAAAATCCAGCTTTAATTGAAGTGTAGGCCCCTTATTTACACTCAAATTTCGAAATTCGAATTTTGACATTGACACTAGAACGTTAAATTCCGAAACATTGTAATCCATTTAATTCAGACTATTGCACTTTGTTTTCAATGCAAAATTAGACTTTCTAAATAAGGTACAAGTTAATTGAGCCGATTGCAACATTCAAAATGTACAAGGTTTGAAAAGTGTGTTGAAGTTGTTGCTAAAATTAGCTTAATAATTGTTCCAGCAATTTTCGTGTTGAGAAGGGACATCGCACAGATTTGGAAATGGCAAAACAAATTTTTCCTATTTGTTTTTCATCGTTTTTCCTATGAAGGACGTCTTGATATAAATAGGTCCTGTATGCGAAATAAGCCAAAAATAGTTCTTCCGCATTTGCGGCTCTCGACAGCTGTCCATATAATTGGCATATGGAAGGGAGGGGGCGAAAACAGAGCAAAAAACAGCAAAGGAGATCACAAATTGCAGCTTTAGAGTCTAAATCACCCATATAATTTTTTATGTAAGTGCAGACCTTTACCTCCGATAAGATAAACGTATTACTGTGTTATCCCTTTGAGGAATCAAATAATCACGAACTTATGTTTTGAAAGGTAAAGTTTTTAAGGTAAAATGTTGAGAAAGCAAGATTGCTTATGAATTTTTGTATTTGAGAAGCTAAAGATCCTCTCTAAACCAAGAATATAAGCCCTTATGATCGAACACTTTGGAAGAAAAGAGGACGCCAGAGTTTGAAAAAACTGCTCTAATTACAAGATTTTTATTGAAATATACAACAAAAGCAATTACGAGAATATTTTTTCATTCCGGAAACGCTGGAGCATAATATTTGTTTTTTTCAGAGCAGATACGATTCCAGATAGTTGGGAAAGAGGAGGCGGTAAAAGGTTCGAAAGTCAAGATACACAAAAAAATTCGTACAAAAAACTAGAAATCCCACATTCTACTTATTAAAATAAATCTGATTTTGCGCGTAAATACAACCAAATTTTAGTTATTAGGTCGTTCCGAAAGTAATGTCGCTTTTTTTATGCCACATCTAGTGGAACAAAGATGTGTAAGAGATTTTGGTAGCGTTCGATGCAGCATTTCATTCTCTTTCTAATGGTTATGCAGTTGTTGCAACACAGTCAATGAGCTTCCAGAAAAGAGTCAAAATCTGCGACCTATGCTTTTTGAGATGGCCAGGTTTCACAATTTTTCTAAAATTTCATAACAAACCTCAGAAGGAGTCCAAGTAATGGATGGATGGAGCAAACCCTACAGGAAACAGCACAACTTTTTTCTACTTTCCAGAGCTCGTCATAATTTTTGTACAGATTTTTTGGAACCACCGAATTTTAGCAGGCTCGTCTCAGACACAAGTGCATCAAACGCCAGCAAGTCTCCGGATTTTCAAAGTTACAAAGATGGATTATGGTTTGGCAACAATTTTACAAACCAAACGAGCATTCACCGCTTCGGTTTAGCAACTTTCGAAAATTTCGGGTACACCTCGGGGGTGCCTTGGAAAAGTTAAATTATGATGATTTTGTCCCGGAAAACTTGATGAATCGGAAACAAAAAACGACCGCTAGAGAGAGGAGAAAAAGCTGCGTCGAGTGACACCCGAGTCGCTTGCCGGTTTTTGTTCTGTGAGGTTTGACGTGACTAAAAATGGAATTTGATGGCATTTTAAAACTGATTCCAGAAACTCTAAGAAGCAAGCTAAGGAAAAGAAAAAATTACTTTGTGTTTTATAGTGTTTGCTCTATCTACCTGCCACTTGTACTTTTCCGAAGATTAGGTACAAAAATTAAGATATAGCCGAACTTGACCATGGCAAAAAGCAGGAGTCGCAGATTTTGGTAATTTTTCGAGAGCTCATTAAACATTATGCAGTGAAATTAGAACCATTAGAAAGGGGATGAAATGCTACATGGAATGCTCCTAAGATCTTTCAAAAATGTTGATTCCATGAATAGTGGCGTTCATTCGAAAAAAGCGACCTTAGTTTCGGAACGACCTAATATTGTTGGGGTTTCCAAACAAAAAATACTCAGTTATTTTTTCTGATAAATAACTTACGTTGAAGATATGCTACAGCTTTGCACATTACTGGTCCAAGAAGCCAGCACCTAGTAATTTCGCTAAGCAGTGTGAGCGGCATACAAACAACGCTTCTGAAACAATTTGATCGATATATTGTTCCTTAATTATTAGGTATTTGTCCTGATAATTTGAAGTTACCTGAGCAGGTCAGCTACTGCTAAATTCAACAGATAAAAGTTCGTTATCGATCGAGTTCTGCAATAAAAACAATTTTTTGCTTTTCTCAAAGTTTTCAAACTTTTTTCTCAGAAAAGAAATTCACTCACCTGTGTGTTTTTGACAAAATAGTGAATATGACTAGCGAATTGCCAAGCAATGACAAAGCGAAGAGAAAGACGAATACGGCACTTAGCAGTATGTTGTACAAAGAAAGTTCTAGAGTACAGCGTACCTCCTTCACCTCCATAGCTAGTCCTAAAATCATTTGTTGGAGTAAAAAATAAAGTGGGCACGAAGATAACAACGACAACGATTGCACGATAAAAAAAACTCCATTAATCTATAGGAAGTAGAGAGAGAACATTAGGGAAAGCTATGCTGTGAGATTTTATTTCGACAAAGTAGCGTGGTTCAACAAATATTTTGTCCTCCAGCACACGAAATTCTGCTCTTAAATTCAATCGTATTCCTCCCTGTCATAGCAATAATCCAATTCTTAGTCTTAGTATACATAATTGAAATCATAATCGAAAAACTATGTACTCGACCTCTTATTGAGCTACTCATCATGTACTCAAATTGCCCTTAAAGCTCAGCTCCCTGAGGCTTCCTGAGGATGAAGCTACTAGGCCAAAGAAGAATGTTTCAGAAAGTCTAGATCACTTATAATAATTGCGGATAAGATGATAGCATTGACATTTTGACAAAATTTGCATGAAAACTAATTTCTACTTTTTATGCGCGTACTGAACTTAATTTTCCACAAATTATAAAGTGATAGTAATCAGAACTAAAGCAAACGCAATTTATCGCCTATGTCTGTTTCAATGATGTCAAAGCGCAGAATGAGTAAGAAGAAAGTTAGCAAAAGTTAGATAAGATCAGGTTAGACAGTGTACAAAATTTTTTCGTAAAATTGAGTGGCTGGGCGTGAAAGTGTAATCCGGAGATAAGGGAATCTTCGGAAGTATTTTTGAGAAAAAGATGAAAAGTTTCAAATAAAAATCTTCTTTATCTTACTAGAAACATCGATTCTAGTGTAAACTGCGCAAAATATCTAGAAAAATGCCTGCTCACATTGGTGAGTAGATTAAGAGAAGTCTAGTAAATTTTTTGCAACCTAAGGAAAAAATCACAGGCCAAAGCTTGCGCGCAATCACGCGGATACGCATCAAAAATCCAGACGTTAATCAAGTGGGTGGGTGGATCTCCTAGAATATGAACATTAGTTACATCGTTTGAATATACACGAAGCCCTTCCTTCCAGCCGCCAAGCCAGTTGAATCAAAGGGTACAAGGAGTGAGTTCCCGAATTTTGACGGCTGTTTCATATCTCACTCCATGTAAATTGATTCAACTGGCTTGGCGGCTGGAAGGAGGGGCTTCATTACCTAATTAAGGCTAGGTAATGATCAGAGAGCGCGCGTGCGAGAGAGACGCAGATTGCGTTTCGGGCGCGAGGGGCCTTAATTAGGTTGGCGGCTGTAAGGCGCAAAGCCCCGCCTTACAGCCGCCAACCCAGTTGACTCAAAGGTTAGGTAGAAGCTAAGCAAGATGCCACGCTTCAGGTTACGCTTGAAAAACTTGTAATTGAGACTTTCGCGGGTTATTATTTACGTATCCAAAATTACTTGAACTTTATAAGTATGACAATTATGATTAACAATAGTGCTAGAACTCGAGAAATCAGAAAATCAAGTGACTTTATATACAGGGTGTCCCAAAAAAAAGTATCGAACGTTTGATCGTTAATATCTCTCTTCCCAAGAAGTCTTTTGCCTTGCATTAGGTACCAATCTGTAGAGCTGGCTCCAACTCAGATTTGCATTATAGAACGAATCACCCATCTCTCTTCATTACTGTAGGATTACGGTAGAAACTTCAAAGAGGGTTTTAAGCAATGAAAGGCCAAATTTTGCCTCAGAAAAGAAACAAAACAGCCTGAAAGCTTTTACACTAGGCTAATTAGAGTTGCTGATTATAACTGTAAAGTTCGCAACTTATTATGATGCTTCATTCAAGAGTTATGCCAGGTGAGAGGTAGCGGCCATTTTTTCAATGTTCCTAAAAAGTGCGGTTACACCGTTTAGAAAGCTTCGTAATCTTGTGAATGGTTGAGTATTGAACTCAGCGTCCATAAAAACACTATTACACAAGTTTCCACAATTTCTTGAAAAATTTTGAAAAGGCAGCGTTTTCCACATTGACACCATATGTTTCAAGTTTCTACCGTAATCTTACAGTAATGAAGAGAGATGGGTGATTCGTTTTATAATGCGAATCTAAGTTGAAGCCAGCTCTACAAAACGGTACCTGAATCAAGGCAAAGGACTTCTTGGGAAGAGAGATATTGACCATCAAACGTTCGACACATTTTTTTGGGACACCCTGTACATACATAGCCAACGATATTGTGACATGTGCTAGCTCAGGATGAGCCAGACATGAGGCTAACATTGAGCTGAAGTATAGACCGGAAAACATTTTTGATGTGATTTACAATGTGAGTAAACTTCCTTAAGCCATTGAAAACACGAGCAGATAAGGAAATGAGCAAGGAAGGGGAGCAGACATAAGTTTTACCACTGACGTGATGTTGAGCGGTAATTGCTGTCAACGTAAACTTTTTTATGCTTGTCATACACTTCCTTTTCTTTGATGAGGGTTCGGATAAGAGGAACTACAATGAGCATTGGCCTCACTCGAAAAAATAATACTGGAATCAAAATTGCGGGACCATCTCAGTTTACGAGAATTTTGAATTTGTTTCCCTATGACTACGCTTCCCATTATCCTAAATTATGTTCGGTTGGCTCCTTGAAAACAAGCAATATCGTTATTGAGAAAAATAAGATTGACGTATCTAAATTATAGTCTAAGTTACAAACCTATATGACTTCAACCTGCTCATTTTTCGAATTTAGAGAAATTTTATACATGCCTCTTATGAGGCTCATAAAAATCAAGGATAATATCGAGAAAAAAAAACAGAGCAGTGAAAAACACTATACATGCTTGAAATGCAATTCGTAATTCGTATCTGTGCTTTGCCTGCAAGTCGTGCATGGCGCACTGCTGTGCGATTGGAGCAATTGCGCCACCGTCTAGATTCTAAGGTCGGTAATTGAGCGAAGAGGAGAAGATTTGAGACTGCGAAATTAATCCAAAAATTTTACTAATGGAAAAGAAAATTATAACTTTGTCATTCTTTGTGCCACTTCAGGCGGTTCGCCAGGTGATAAGAGGCCCCTAATTTGGAAAAGGTTTGTAACGCTTCAAATCTGGTGTCATATCATTGCCTCTTCAATGTGAACAAGCCCGTTGTTTGCTTCGCTGCACAATTTTGAACTCCCTCGCGGTATCGAGATAGTATTGGAGCGCGACATTGTTGCTGTTGCAAAAATTGGGTTTGGTAAGGCAGTGATGAGCAGAGTTGAGCTGTCCCTACTGGATTTTTCTACAAGGTAATTTAAACTATAAGATTCTGTTTCCAAAGAAGTGCTCCGTCTTCACAGGATAGCTCATAAATGCTTTTTATACGGGGCTGTGTTTCGGACCCCGCATAAACGATATCCTCTTTGCTTTTTAACCCAAAAAGATATTCAACCTACCCCTGTGTCGGGCCCTGCTAAGAGTACAAGCAGTCCCAATGTAAGTCAAAGTTCTCAGAAATTTTTCATGACTGTAGACCTTCATTTCCTTGTTGTATGATAGTATTAAAAAATTCTCACCCTCCCCCCCCCCCCCCCCCCGCCTGACACAATATACTAAACTGTATCTGGAGATATCCATAGAAATGCTTGTCCACTGCACTAAAAATCCGGTTGAATATCATTTCCTGCACAGAGGGCAAACTTTTTGTGTGGCAGCGACATGCTCCAAATAAGGCTTCAAGTCTAATCTAATTCTACATATGGACAATAGCTGAAAGAACGCTTATCTTCTGCTTCTATTTTCATTCTTCTTGAATTATCGGAACATTTAGCTTAGCCATATTTAGGTTAGCCGAAAGCTAAACATAGTTGCGATGCCGTCTGCAGCCAGCTTTTTTGGTTCTCGAAAACTTTTTCTGGCTTTTTGCCCTTTTACGGCTAGAGGAGAGAAAAAGTGCGAAACTGCAAGAATTTATGATTAAAAAAGTTGAGACAGAATTCAAAGCAGGAGACATGTCAGACAACTGACCGGAACTTTCGCTGAATGTGTGGAAAAGTTCCGCCGGTCACGGAAGTTCCCAAATGAGGTACAGCGGGAGTTCCAAACAACGCGAACAGCCTGACGTGAACATCTTGAGGAAGTTCCCATTCTCGACGTTTCCACTTGCAAACAAAATCCTGCGGAACTGCTGCAAATTTTGTTTGTCCTGCTGAAGTTCCAGTGAATTGTCTGAGATAGAACAGACAAAGACTCATTTTTACTTTGATTTTCCTTTCTATCCACTGCGGCACTTTGAGCTTGCTAAGAAGAAAAAGAAATTTGTTAAAACCTATTTTTAAAAGCACAGCATATTTTTTTCACTAATTCCACGTAAGCATGGGGCATCGAATTCTAATGCTAAACAATTTATAGCCGTGTGAACTATTTTTTCGAAGTTTTGCGTACTCGAGTTGTATTGGTTTTTAGACTTGATAGATTACGGTAAACTTCGTTCATAGTCATGAGTATAGTCGCAAAAAATACTACTCCTCCCCCCCCCCCTCCCTCAACTTCCTCTTACGTTCCTTCTTCTCGTGGAGGCTTATATCAAGGCTCAACAGCTGCTAATCGTTTGAAAGTTTTTATACAATCATTCACGTGACTTTGCATTATCCCTACTTTGAATCTAATTGCATTAACTGAGGTCACAATGAGTGGAAAAAGCTGGAAGCGGTTAGGGTTTTAATGAAGCTGTTTTGATGACATTAAAATGGAAAAACTAGGCATTCAACAGAGATATTGCATATTTGAGTGGAGAAGAAAGGAGTTAGAATAAGAAAGCAAGGAGGCTTTGTGAATTTTTGGAATGTAAGCTTCTCCCATATCACCGACGCAGTTGTGTTATTATTGATTTATTGATTGTCTGAATTTAAATGCTCTTAACAAAATAACTGCTTTTTTATGTTTTTGATCAATTCGTCTTATACAAATTTTCTGTATAGTTTCTTGTAATTTTTTTGAATTTATAATCCAGAATTTTTTTAAAATTTTTTTTGTCTTACACAAATTTTTTTTGAGGTTTTTTTGTCTTATACAAATTTTTAGAGATAAAGTTGAGTGTCCATTAT